TTAAATATAAAAATTGTTGAGACATAAATTTTTATGTGTTGTTATTTTCTACTTTTATGTTTTATTATTATTTTTTTGGATTGTTTTCTTGGTATCCAAGTCTTTTTCCCTCACTATACAAAACACAATTATACTCTTTTTTGAAAGAGAAATCTCAAAAATGATATTATGAAGAGAAAGTCTTAGTGTTCATAGTTTTTGCTTGTATAAGAGAGAGAGAGAGAGAGAGAGAGAGAGAGAGAGAGAGAGAGAGAGTGCACTAGCAGTGTCTATATCTGCACAAGGCTGGAATGGCCATTGTTTGCAGCAATTCCAACCTTAAAAGTAATCAGCACCTAATTCATTTGGGGCCCCAAATCATACTCTATTTAGATATCATCTCAATCTTATTATGGAGAGTTTAAGGTGATGCTTCCAATCATAAATTTTCTGAAATCTTGTCCTCCAGAGTTCCTAAAAATTACTAGAAATCAGAAAATAAAGATGCAGAGGTTTGTTTGATTTGAGGAAGCAGACCTGAGTGCCATTTCAGTGACAGTGAAGTTTGGATTGCAAACTGACCTACAGTGAAGAGCTGAGCCAGATTTAGCAGCCATTTCTTTTCAGAAAAAAGGAAGAACAAAGTTGACAGTGAATTCAGGTGAATAAGAAAATAAACATAACTAGCCAGGCTTCCTTGTAGATTAATCATGTCTATGTGTAATGTATCACTGAATGGATATATGATCTATAAAAAATTCAGGAAAATCCTTCTAAAATCTGAAGAAAAAAAAACACTCCTAAGAAGAACTCTAGTTTCTGATATTTATCTAAATAAAAAATAAAATCCTAATTATCAAATTATATATAAAGAAACCCAAATCTACCCATGATAGAAAAAAATTTTCAACCAAAGTATTCCTAAATATTCTATTTTGATAAACCAGCTCTTACCAGAATTATGGATATTACAAAAAGAAAAAATAAAATTAGTTTTTTTATTTATTTACATCTTTCTTTATTTTTTACTGTTTTAAGAGAAGAAAAAATAATTCTGCTATTCTAATTATATCATATTGTGATAATTACATACTTTCTATTGGAAATGATTAGTTATTGTTCAAAGAGGTTCTACACATAATTAAAAATAGATCTTTCCCATGAGTGTGTGTGTGTGTGTGTGTGAGAGAGAGAGAGAGAGAGAGAGAGAGAGAGAGAGAGAGAGGGAAAGGAAATTGCATGTATCAATTCCCATGAGCAACTTTTGTGCATTGTATCATAGTGCTGAAAGCACATTCCATGCCATGGTTGAGTTGAGGAATGTATTGTGTTTCTGTAGAATGGTCAATTCTTTCTCTTCTTTCAACCAGAGAGAGAGAGAGAGAGAGAGGACCACATCGAAAGGAAAGAAGAGTGCTTTCTGTAGCATGGTCATTTCTTTCTCTTCTTTCAAGAGAGAGAGAAAGAGGACCACATCAAAAGGAAAGAAGAGTGCACTTATCAGTTCTCACGAGCACCTTTTATGCACTGATTCATGGTGAAAGCACACTCCATGACATTGCTGAGCTGAGGAATGTTTTGTCCTGCTTTAACACGGCCATTTCTTTATTCTTCTCCCAACCTGGTTGATCTTTGAGAGAGAGAGAGAGGGAGAGAGAGAGAGAGAGAGAGGACCATATCAAAGGGAAAGGAAAGTGCATTTATCAATTCTCATGAGCACCTTTTATGCATTGATTCATGCAGGTAAAAGCACCCTCCATGACAAGCAAGGTTGAGCTGATTAATGTCTTTTACTGTTTTAACACAGTTATAAATATCTAATAGCAATGATTTTTATGCCTTTTTATTTTAATTTATATTTTTAACTGCAGCTCTTTAAAACTATAATTATAAATGAATCAAAGATTATAGTTCCTTAAAACCGCAATAATAGATGAAACAAATACTACAATTCTTGAATAATTATTGGAAAATTATGTGGAAATCAGTATCTCTTGCTTGAAGAATTAATAGATGAAACACATACAGTAATTCAGATTAACAAGGCAAGTATTTATTGCGCTGTGCAGGAAAAGCAGTGGATTCTCAAGAGGAGTTGTAAGGTTTAAATTGCCATCTTTTTGCTTGTTCTAAGAGTATTATCAAATAGGATAAACATGCAGTCCTATTATGATTTATGGTGATGTTGAGCAGCTGAAGCAACTGACCCACCACCATCCAAATCTGCATTCCTTTTCATGTTTATGTTGAGCAGCTGAAGCAACTGACCCACCACCATCCAAATCTGCATTCCTTTTCATGCAGATGCATGAAGGTTAGGGCTGGCATGGCTCAATTCTGGTCAGTTGGGAGTAAAAGAGCAGATGCATGAAGGTTAGGGCTGCCATGACTCAATTCTGGCTAGTTGGGAGTAGAAGAGAAGAAGAAGAAGAAGAAGAAAAAGAAGAAGAAGAAGAAAACTATGAAGTAGTAAATGTTGACTTTTGCATTTTCATTTTTATGCAGAAGAAGAAAACTATGAAGTAGTAATGTTGACTTTTGCATTTTCATTTTTGTGCCAATTTGTATGGTTTTTAAAATATATTTTCAGAATCTTAGCAATAGAAATAAAGTCAATAGGTCAAAGTAAAAATTACTACATACTTTAGGGAAGAAGAGTTATTATGCCAGGTTGATTGATGATAAGGTAAGTAAAATTTTCATAAATATTTGATGTATTTTTTATATTTATTAATTATATTATTTTTATATTTTGTTAGAAAGAATATGTGATAATTATGTAATTAAATGTATCTATTTTATCTTTCTTTTTGTGAATTATGAGCTACTATTGTGGTAAGTATATCATAGTAATTTGTATACTATTGTGATAAATGTATATATTTATGTAATTAAATAATGATAAAAATATGTGAATTATTACAATTGAATAATCATTGTAATAATTAAACTATTGCTGTGGTTGTCATTTATAGGGGAAAAGTATCTATTACTGTACTCAGATAATAACAGTAATAGCTAAACTATTATTCCGGTTTTCATTTGCAGGGTAAAAATATCTAACTGTAGTTTAATAATCACAATAATAATTAAATTAATATTATAATTTTTATTTGTAGGATAAAAGTATCTATTATGTACTCAGATAATCAACTATTAATATGATTTTTATTTATTAGGAAAAAGCATCTATTACTATGGTTGAATCATCACAAGAATATGTTCACCTTTTTATCTATGATTGTAAAAATTACAATTATATATATTTTATTTATGGCATTCATTGTTCTATTGTCACATGATAGAAAATTTATCAATAGTTAACGTACGATTGCCACGTAAGATCTATGTCATCTTATGATAATGTAGGCAATCCTGCGTTACCTTCTCATCCTTTATGATAAAAGAAGACAATCATAATTTTTTTTTTTCTTTCGAAGATATAAAAATATATATTAAACATAGAGAAATATAACTTCTTGAGAACTACTCTAACCCACGTTTAGGGATATTAATTTACTAACTTAAACATCAGAGGGATCGAGTTGAAAAACTCCACTCAACCTTCGTCAGTGATACCTTCGAACTTAATACCTCGAGACATGACATCTCGGAGCCACCTCGAGTTTATTTTGGGAGAACGATATTTCTACGCACACATGTCTAAATCACATTGGGCTAATTAAGACTTTCACTTAACATTATAATTTGTAACTATAGAAATAGAATTTACTATTATTAAAATATATAAATATATAAATAAAAACCATAGCTACAAATACAATTTGTTGTAGTGTAACATGGTCATTTCCTTTTTCTCATCCCAACCTGGTGATTTGAGAGAGAGAGAGAGAGAGAGAGAGAGAGAGAGGAAAGGGAAGTGCATTTATCAATGTCCATGAGCACCTTTTGTGGATTGATTAATAGTAAAAGCACACTCCATTCCATAGTTGAGCTAAGGAATGTATTGTATTGCTGCAACATGTCCATTTCCTTTTCTTCCCCCAAGCTGACTGATATTGTCTTTTCTTTTCACTCCCTTTATATCTCATCCTTTATGTAAAGAGGTGGTCAATCCACCGTCATCTCCAGCGGAAAGCAGGCCAACGAGACCCAGCTTTCGACTCCTCGTTCTTATCACCACCTCAACCATCCTCCCTACCTTTTTTTTTTCTCCCATTGTTTTGCCTTCTCTAATCTCCATCCACCCTCCTCCCCTCAACAACCACAAGATTAGATTCATGCATACTTGTCCCTGGAACTTCTAATGCATCACCATGAACAAAAGCTTTTCGCCAACATTCTATGTTCATCGGAATCTAACAGATGGTGCTGATCATATCCAGTGTTGTCTTCCTGTGGAACACAAAAGGCATGCGTCAGTGGCACGCTCCCAAGAGACCTTTCCACTTCACCGATCATGCTCTGGTTGGATTTCCACCCATGCAGATCTCATAAGCTCCATCTTAAAGCGAAAGGGATAGAAATGGAGTAGGATACATGATCCAAAATGCACACATTTTGCTGGTCCACAGGGCCAACTTGTCCTCCTCCAAAACTGCAGGCAGGCACATGCAGAATCCATTCCTTGGTCATCTGGTCCGACAAATCATCATCCACCCAAGTATTTTAGCAACTTTTTATTTCCCATCAACAGTGTCAATAGTTTTTGATGACTCAGATTTGGATCATCCATCCCACGGAAGATTGGAGCCACTTTGACAGATTTTATTTTTTCCTCCAAAAGCAAAGGAAACTAAATTTTACTAAATAGAATGAAAAAGTAAACGTTTGTTCGTATCAAATGGGCATATGGATTATGTAATGGGGTGCTTGGACATATAAACAAGCAAAACTTTGACCACTGTGGTGGAAGAACTGGTAAGAGTTTTGTGTGAATAAATGAATAGGGAAGAGGAACTAAAAGAATCATTCCTTGGGAGAGGTGGACACAGTGACATCAATCTTTTCCTGCCCCACTCTTGTCACAGTATGTGTGCCATGGTTTCCCAGTGGTCTTCACCTTTGCCAGTGTTTCTAGCTCTCTCTCTCTGACTCACTCTCTGCTGCCTGCTTTTGGCTTTATCACACACACCCTCTACCTTTTCTTCCCATCTTCAGCTTTTTCCTTCCCCACAACACACTCTCCCCACCTCAGTTTGGCCCTCCCTCAGCTCCCTTCTCATGATGCACTATTCAACCCCATTTCATGCAGAGATCAGCTAGAAAAAGGGGAAAGGAATCATTCTCCTCCTCCAAATTCCCTAATGGCTAGTGGTTTTCTAGCTTGGAGCTTCCTCTTCACCAGCATCCTAGGACTTCACACTGTTTGCTCTTCAGGTGAGTACCCCTCTCAGTCTCCTCCCTTTCTCTCTTTCAGTATCTTCAATATCCAGTTCTTTTGTGCAAGACACAAACTGCAAGTTAAGCTGCTCATTAGCCATAGCTCACAGTCTTTAACGATTTCAAGTGTAGATGCATACTGAGAAAAGACAGATTCTTCTCTCTATTGGGTCCAAGAGTATGTATGTTCTAGTTAGAAAGGGAAGTTAAGTAGCATTTGTAAGATTGGCTGACAGTCTCTAGGAGTTTCAAGTGTAGATGAACACTAAAAAATAACATTTGTTGAGCAGATTCTTCCCTTTTTGGGTCCAGGAATATGTGTGGACTATACTTAGGAAGGGGAAGAAAGGTGCCATTTGTAGGATTGCATGCATATCTCCTTTAGAAATCAGTCTTCAAGACTGTGCATTATTTCGATTACTGTCCTGGTGAGTGATTGGTTCTTGTTGGGTTTGCTTTAAATGTTTATGAAGAAATTTCTAGTCCCGATGAGGAACAAATTGTCCCTGTGTTTTCTTCAGGAACCTTGGTGGGGTTCTCCTATGATGCAAGGGAAGAGAATACTGCCCCTTTGTTGCCCGGTGTGGCACTGCTTAAGATGCTCGTGGCAAACCAAGGTGCCTATTTAGATTCAGTACCCATCACCAGCATCTCTGTCAATCTCTGTGTGAGCCAATTCGAAGTGAAGAAACTACTTGAATCGAAAACCTCAGCAACTTCATGGCCTAGAACTCACCTTATGGACACTCTCATCAAGTTAAACATCGATAGAATTATAGTAAGTAGCAATGGAGAGAGGCTCCCCTTGCTCCTTTCCACCTTGACCTCAGTCAGAGCATCTCTCAAGACTTCCAACCTTGATAGGACTCTGAGGATCACAGTCATGTTCTCCCTCTTAGACCTCAAAACTCTGCACAGGACTCATCCTAAGAGCATTCAAAGGATGATGCATGTTTTAAAGGATTGGGAGTCTCATGTAGTGGTAGAAACTGTTGTGGATGAGGATATGAACTTAGATGATGACTTTCTTCGTTCTACTATCGAGTTGGCTTCCTCTGCTTGCACTTATCTACCTTACCTTGATATCCCTATCATTCTTATTGTGAAAAGCTCTCTGATCCCTACTGGAGTCGAAATAGCTAAGTTTTCGGATAGAATGATGAAGTTCTTAAGGAGTGATGCTTTGCTTAGAAGAAGGATTGCAGGGCTGTTCATCGACATCTCCCATCTTAGGCAGTATGGAAAGAAGACATTTGATTGGCAAGAGAAATTGATGGTCCCTTCCTTGCAAAAAGAGCTTCTCAACCATGGCCGAAAACTTACTGTTGCAACCAAAACCACACTGTATGATACGTTCACTCCGATAACAAATCCTGTCACAACTCCAATTACAATCCCTTCCACGAACCCAGCACCCGCAATAGTGACTGTGCCATCGACCAATCCAGTCACAGTTCTCCCCACAATTCCAACCATGTCACCGGTAAACATCCCACCTATGAATCCAGTGAGCACTCCGATCACGGTTCCTGCAACAGATCCTTTCTCAACACCAGTGACAACACCTGTAGTGCCTGTGACAAATCCTGCTACAACACCAACAACATACCCTACAAACCCTCCTGTGACCAATCCCGTGACAAGCTATCCATTTACGCCACCAGTAAGCACACCTTCTATATTACCACCGGTAACCGTGCCAAGCACAGTTCCCATCACACCAGCAACTTCAGGGCAGACATGGTGCGTGGCCAAGGCAGGAACCCCGGATGCAGCGCTGCAGCTTGCACTGGATTATGCTTGTGGAATTGGCAGTGCAGACTGCTCAGCAATTCAGCCAACAGGAAGCTGCTACAATCCTGATACCCTTCAGGCTCATGCTTCATATGCCTTTAACAGCTACTACCAGAAGAATCCAGTGGCATCAAGTTGTGATTTTGCAGGAACAGCCATGCTTGTCAACGCTAATCCAAGTAAGACTTATTATTTTTGTATACTATCATTGAGATGTAATTGAAGGACCATAACATATTAGATCAGCCAACCTTCATTTCTTTATGGAAGTAACTAATTTAAGGTATTTAAAGGACTACAACATTGATAGAAAGTTCAACCAACCTTTGTTTATTTTCAAAGTAGCTAAAAATGATGACAATCCAGGTAGCCATTTGCCTTATGTAACCGACAATGAGCTTGGAAAGTCACACTAATGCAAAGCTATGAATATTTTGGCAGGTACAGCAACTTGCATTTTTCCATCATCAAGGTATAACCTCAACCACTTTTTTTTTTTCTTTCTGATTTACATCGTTAGAATTACATGTTGTTGACCAGCAGTTCACCACACATAAATTTTCTTCATTTGATACACAGTTCTGTTCCCGGTTACAGTCCTACATCCACTGGAGCTGGCTCTACTCCCAGTTCAGGTTCATCAGTGTTGAACACGTACAACCCAACTGGTTCCAACTCGGTATTTGGTTCAGACAACCCAACAGGCACTGTCAGCAATGCGATCTCTCTTTCCGTCGGTTGGACCTTCTTACTCTTTGTGCTTACAATAGCCTGTATCAGCTGCAACGTCTAGTAGCCCTCTAGTATCAGCCCTTTAGTAGCTGCAGCAGTATACATCTGATCGACGTGTAGAGATCATTCAGAAGTTTATTGTGTATAGAAACTGAGTAGTTGATTATGTATCTTAGAATTGACTACATGAGAATTTGTTGGCTTTCTGTATATTATCAAGATGTATTTTACTTCAAGCAAAGCTGAAGAACATGTCCAGTGTGAAAATGATTAGGAATGCAGTAGTGGATGGAGTACATGGAACCTACAAAAGAGAGAATTGATTCAGATCCAAATGGACTGTCTTCTCTTAACTTTTCACCTTTGAATGAATCTAAACAACAAAGTATACGATCTCTTCAGTAATAGATTGGGAGAAACAATGTGTTGTATTGATTTAGTTCTGAGTTCCCATTGACACTTCTTCTTCACAAGCACAACATATCAAGAATCAGCAAAAAGTGCTTCAAGATGCTTCTCCACGTAGCCAAATAGCATCTAAATCCGATGCTCAGGTACTCACTGGAAACGGAACATACTGAGGAGCTGATCCGATTACATAAAAATATTGATCTCCTGTTTTAATCCACAGTTGATGGTACCTTTATGGAAAGATCCTTCATCCCACATCCATTTCATTATTATGACAGCAGCTGTTGTTGGGCGTGGCTTATATGACAAATTTCTCACCTGGAGAATCTAGGCAAGCTCTGCAAGAACTCAATTGAACAGCCACAATTTTATACGAGCTAATTATATACTCTCCTATTCTTAGATATCTTTAATATTTTAATATTTATATTTTTAAAAACTATATTTTGATCCTTATACTTATAAAAAAGTAAAATATTAAAATAAAAAGGTTAAATATTAGAACAACGGGATTAAATATTTTATTTTCATAAAATAAAATTTTCAATATAACTTTTAAAAATATAGGGACTAAAGATACTAAAGGTAATTAATTAAGATATAATATATAATTAACCTAATTTATACTATTAGAATATTAAAGATCAAAGTATGTATATATATATATACACAAATAAATATATATATATATATATATTAAACTTATAATTATAGGATTAATTAGGCAAAAAGAGAACTTTACAGGGGTATATACGCAAAATTTTTCCGGAGAGGTAAGAAAGGATCTTTTACGAGATCTTCCTTTTGTAGGGGTTTTATCGTAAACCTCTTCTGCGCCACAAAGACCCCTCTCTGCGTCATCTTATCCTCCTCGCACGCTTTGCTGTGGCTGCGGGAGAGCAACAACCGAGAGCAGCAGCCACCCACCCGTCGTTCTCCGGAGCAAAGAGAAGAAGGCGAAAAGAAGAAAAGAGAAGTGGGTTTTTGATCCAATTGGATTCCACCGGGAACAGATGGCTGCCGCTTCCCTTCTTCTTTCTGTCCCCGTGGCCAAGACCGAAGGGACGCTGCTCTCCGGAAGTAACCTCTTACCCGGGCCGGACCGGGTAGCCGCGTTATTTCGGCGAGGCATCCACCGCCGAGCGGCCAAGTGCCGCCCCGCTCGTCGTCGCCCTCCCGCCGCCGTTGCGTCCTTGGGAGGCCTGCTTGGCGGGATCTTTAAGGGCACCGATTCCGGCGAGGGCACCAGGCAGCGGTTTTCGGAAGCTGTCGCTCTGATCAACAGGTTGGAGCCCGAAATGTCACGCCTTTCGGACTCGGAGCTGAGGGAGAGGACGTCGCTCTTGAAGGAGCGGGCGCGGAACGATGAACCGCTCGATTCTCTTCTGCCTGTAAGCTCCTTCTTTACATCCACCAACTTGTAGAGTTTGAATCTTGCTGAAGTCATCGTTCATGATTTTATTCACTATAAAACGCATTGGGGTTTTCTTCTTCGCAGTCTTCTTGTTATTTGATGTATGGCATTCAGAAATTTAGATTAGAAATTGAGAACACAAGAGAGTTCTATTTTAATTGGGTCCATGAAGAATTTCCTCAAAATATTGGGTTCACAAAGAAATGGTTGCTCATGAAATGAGATATGCAGAAGAAGGAAAATGCTGTCTAGTGTGTTTTATCTGCATCACAAGTCAAAGTGGCACTTGAGTCTTCTTAGTTACAGTTTTGTCTACCAGAAAAAAGTGCACATATTTCATTTTCTATAAGGAAAAAGACATATATTAAAAAAGACTGTGTGTATAAGTTCTGTAACCTTGCCAGTTCAAATATAGTTGCCTATTTCTAATACCTATCTTTACTTGTCCTTTGGATGTATTAGATGATTCTTTGAGAAGTCAAATGTACAATTTCCTTTTAGATCTATTAGATAGTTGTTCTGTTTATTATAAAGACCATGTTTTTCTTTGGGGTTTATTTTTCTCGCTTTATCACTTTTATGGTTTTGAATCACATCATCTCCAACCAAGGATCTAATTTTCATATATTTCTTTCTCAATCCTTCTTGGAGCACCATTTATTTTATTATTCGTTAACTTGATAGTTATTGACAGGAAGCATTTGCTGTTGTAAGAGAGGCTTCGAAGAGAGTTTTGGGTTTGCGTCCTTTTGATGTGCAATTGATAGGTATGTTTTCATGTTTTGCTATAATATTGTTTTTTGGTTCTACCCATAACCATATTTGATGGTGTAATGTGGTTTAACAGACTTCTTTCGTATGCATGCCCTTTGATGTGCTAGTGGGTTCAACAAGAGACTTCTTTATGCAAAATGAATTGCTGTGGTTTGATGCATATTTTTTCAGCATTAAAGAGTTGGATTATATGCTATGAGATCCACTCCTATTTATCAAATTAGACTCTTTTATTGGACAACTAAATATCATGTCCAATACTAATGTATCTATGTTCTTCCAAAATGAAATCAAATAAAATGGATTGGTGTCTTAGTGAGTATTAAATGTCACCACTTCAAGGAAAATGTAGATTTTACATGTTTGTAGAGCTTCACATCTTTGTATATGTTGAAGTGCTTATAGGTCAATAGAAAGGCTCCTGGCAACCCTTTTGAATCAGAGACTTCCTGTTGGTTTGACATTTGATTGCCACATTTCTGAGAAATGATAGGTGATGCTTTCACCATTTTTCTCGTGAAAAATTTCCTGAAATTGTTGAGTTATTTGTAACTGTTAGATTACTTTTGTTCCAGCACCAATATTATTAGGCAGTGATAATTTGGAGATTTTGTAATTCTGAATATGTCTGTGGAAGGCATCTTACTTGTCTGCCTATTTGTGTCGAAGGTATGTAGTATGAATTGGGAATATTTAATGATGAAGCTTCCCACCATAATTTTATCTAAAATAAATACAATTAAACTTTGTCATGTGGAATGTGCACTCATCTGGAAGGCTCTTTTCTTGGAACTTTAAGAAGATATTTCACCTGTTGACGATAGCAGATTGGCTTCTTACATTTTTTGTATGGAAGTTTTAGGCATCAACTTGTTGGCTATAAAACAATAACAACAACAACAACAAACTGACGTCCCAACTATTTGGGTTTAATCACATGGGTCTTCTACTACTATCAAGATTTGTACAAAGTTATATCATTAGCTAATCTTTATTTGTAATTTCTAAAACAAGCCTTTTCGTGCCTCCCTCTGTCTCTCTTAGCAAACTTATACTAATTGTCTCACCTTTTCTAACTATATAACATCTATAGGTCTAAATCCATTGACTATACTTATACTAACTTTTTAGTTCCTCCTTTAATTTATATACTCTATTTGATATATGTTGTGAGTAATCTACTTGATAAATGTTGGTGCTTATAGTCAATTATATGTAATTCTACACTGGTGCTGGGCAATTAGGCTGGGGAGAATTGTTCTTTGAAAAGCTGCATTGATTGACTGGACCTATTGCAATCTTAAAATGAAATTAAGCTTCTTTGATTTGAGAATGAGAATAACTTCTATTTAGGTGTGGCTTATTTTTCATATGTTTTTGCACATGTAGGTGGCATGGTTCTACACAAGGGAGAAATCGCAGAAATGCGGACTGGAGAAGGAAAAACGCTTGTGGCTGTTTTGCCAGCTTATCTGAATGCGTTAAGTGGGAAAGGAGTGCATGTTGTTACCGTGAATGATTACCTTGCAAGACGGGATTGTGAATGGGTCGGTCAAGTTCCACGATTTCTTGGACTGCAGGTTGGCCTGATCCAACGTACGTTGTGTTCTCATTTGTCAGTTCATTTTCATGATCTGATCTAATTGTCTTGCATCCATCTTCTCATTGTCTGTTCATTCTCATGATCTGATCTAATTGTCTTGTATCCATCTTGGTTCAACTTGTCATCTGAATCGAGGTGAATGGTTGATATCTGATACTTAAGTCAGTTGATTTTTTACATGTTCTGTGGTTTTCCTTTCAATGCAAATGGTTAGACTTCTCTAAAGATATGTTTATATTTGTCTTTACACTGTACTCCAATTTTTGTTTAAACTTAAATAAGAGGAGTTCATTATCCAGGACCCATAAGATCTCAGTGAAGAATAAGAAAATGTGCAAACTAGGTATGCATTCTTAGAGAGACACTCTTTCACATTTCTGAATTTGATTTGCTTCTAAAACTCCTTACCATAGGCTAATCTTATTGGATTTTTTTTAATTATTTTGTTTTATTGATGGTCATGGATTAACTTGCAAAGCCTACACTAAGCTCTAACCTATTTTCATTTTCTCTTCGTATGTTGAGAAAATTTTTAATAAATCTTAAAATGCAAATCTTCTATGATGAAGTTCTGTAATTCTTTTCTTCTTATTGTGAACATTTTTTTGTCTTGTGTTGGCAGAAAATATGACAAGTGAGCAAAGAAGAGAAAACTACTTATGTGACATTACATATGTCACAAACAGTGAGCTTGGATTTGATTATCTAAGGGACAACCTTGCAATGGTTAGATTATCATTTCTTATGCATAATTTTAGTCTTAAACTGTTGTTCTATTAATTTCAATTCCAAAGAAAGTATATTTATTGACTTAATAATTTGGGTTATCATGCTTTGCATTTGTTTAATACCTCTTTCTTGATGATGTTTTCACTTCATATTCACAGACTGTTGATGAGCTTGTCTTAAGGGATTTCAACTTTTGTGTGATTGATGAGGTTGATTCTATTCTTATTGATGAAGCAAGAACACCACTGATCATCTCAGGCCTTGCTGAAAAGCCAAGTGATCGGTACTATAAAGCAGCAAAAATTGCAGCTGCTTTTGAGCGAGATATTCATTATACAGTATGGAAAATGATCTTGATCGCCT